TGTGTGTGTGTGTAGTGTGTGTGTGTGTGTGTGTATATGTATATATGTATGTAAGTACAGATGTATGTATGTATGTATGTATGTGTCTGTGTGTCTGTATGTATGTGTCTGTGTGTCTGTATATATATGTATAAGTATATATATATATATATATACAATATATATATCTATATATATATTTATATTCTGGTTTAGATATAGGAATATAGATAGATGATATAGATGCGGATGTTGATGTAGATATATAGATATGTTGATATATGTATATAGATATATAGATATATTGACATGTATATGTGTGTAGATGTAGATAGATGATATAGATATAGATATAGATATAGATGTAGATGTAGATATAGATATCGATACATACAAATAATATATATATCTATATCTATGTATATATCTATATCTTTATAGGTATCTGTCTGTCTCTGTCTCTGTCTCTGTCTCTGTATGTGTGTGTGTGAGTCTGTGTGTGTCTGTATGTGTATATCGGCACTGTTGTAGACAGTCATATCCTGGCACTCAATGGCACAGATTAAAATGTGAATTTTCTTTGAATATATATATTTACACACTTGTGTGTATAAGCCTTGTACACGATGACTTAAAAAACACGTATGCAATTTCATTGTGATAAATTCATTTATGTAGCCGTGATGTTTGTTTCTACGCCACGTATAACACATATATCTAGTGATTTGTGCACGTGGCGTATTCTTTTAATGGATTCAGCTTCAAGTACACACATATATTGGTAGTCACACAAACTACAAGATAGACCTTGCGGAACGCAGATGAGACATGTAGAATCCATAGCGCACCAAAAAAAAAACTTTGCCATATTCTACTTCCCTTGATATATTCACTATTTTTCCATGCCGTATTGGATTTTGCCATATCTAAACATGTCTATATTCGTCTGTATTGTCGCACTGAAATATCTTTCCGAGCTTTCATTATGCCTGGTTTCACGACAGATCTTCCCATATTAGGCCATGAAGCGGGAGTGACGATTAAGACGAAGAATCACGTCGCAGAGAGTACGACGGATAAAGTATGTCTTCGTAAGTCGGCGTTGTACGTAATATCATACTGACACCGAACACAGGCTGTTGCGGTACACTTTCTATTACGCCCGAAAGGGCCAGAATAGTATGCTTGTATACGTGTATGCTTCTAAAAAGTGGTCCCCGCCTCATACATATTCTGCTGTGTGGAAGACCAGAATGTTTTGCAATAACCTTCCAGTCTATAAACACGTGCACGAATCAAATCTTAATTTCCTGCACATGCCCCTTATGAAAAATAGGTTACACGTGTGATACCTCAGACAGCTCATTACAATTGCAAAAGCAAAGACACACCGTATCATAGTCTCGGTGAAATCGCAGTGTTGATATACTCAGAGATAACTTTTTTTCATTGTTTTCAAATTAACCCATCTGTGTAATGTTCCGTGCGCAGCGCTCATCGGCGACGGTACCGTCTCTATCTGAGCCTAAATCGAGAAATACCAAACGGTTTATATCGGGAGATAAGGCAACAAATGACGCGAATCGGAGACAACATATGTGTCAGAAACTCGTTAGCAAGGTAGTCAAGACTGATAGTGGTATGTGTTGCATTTTCAGACCGGAAGTTAATCCACTTTCGGCAGCCTCAGTTTATAAATTGAATCAATTTGTCTGTCTCTATTGCCTGTATTGAACTCTGTAAACAAATCCCGATTTTCGAGTACATGTCGTACATTTGTCTGCTCTATGTCGTGTCCATCACAACATCTCTACTTCAAGTGTACATGTATACCAACTCCATCTGAGCAAAATAAAAATGAGGTTATCCGTCAGATTTCACGTGATACTGTTATATCGATACGTTTGGGCCTTTCTGCTTGCCTACGCTGTACGCCACTTCTAAGCTCTAGTCCATGCGCTGCGGTCCCCTTTTAAATGTTTGTATTGAAGCTCTTGGGGGAAACGAATAAATAGGGTAACGACAGTACCTGGCGCACTATGACACTTATATTTCACATGCGTGTTAAATTCAACTGTAGTGGACAAACAATATGCACATCCATGTGTAGCGGTACTGACTCAGACACCTCGTAGTGCATACTACACAGGCGTAATCTGTATCCAACATTAGTGTACCCCCTGGCCTAATTCATCCCCATCACCTTCCAATCTGTAGAATGGCAGAGAAGCTTGGTTCTCAGCGCAGTAGTGGACGCCGACAATTATATCTACTACGTCCCTATGTATGTACTGTACGCACTGGAAGCCTATCCAAGCTATTTCGTAGCTATATACGTCAACGGTATGTGACACTTACTATTGGCTTCACAATTTCATTGATTTATTTATTATGTGATATAGAGTGGCCGATTGCATGAAGTGTCACCACCTCGCACTCGTTCCAGTGCAAAAGCGTTGCGAGACTCACCAGTAACCGAAATTCATTTCGGTCCGTATGAACCTTGTGTGAATTTGAACGA